GAACAGTCAGGTGATAGGGTGACCGTTACTTAAACGACATAAGGACCCTCAGAGAAAATCTATGGTGAAGTACATTTAAAGAATGATTTTTGGCTAGAAAGCATAGCCCCAAGCCTGAGTCTAAAGAAAACAGGGGAAACAGATCTTTCCCCCAGCCTCACATTCATTTGGCTGTCTTCAAGGTGTCCGCCTGACTTCTGCCAAGGCTGACGTTGTTGTTACAGCTTCCCAGCTGTCACTGCAGCAAACGTCGTTTGTTCAAGCAAACAGCCTGTGCATTCCTGGACACAGCTTCCTTTCCTTCTGGTCAGAGAAGGGCCTTATCCAGGGGAAACTAAACGCTGCCAGCTGCACTGCTGTCTTGTTTTGCTGGTCGGTACGTAACATTTTTCTTCAGGGCAAAATATCTGGTTGCCTTATTTTCTGCTAGACAGGAAGCTTCAGAAGTATCTTTTTGCTTGAAAATGAACAGGCGGCTTTTGTGGGTTTTGCACAGGGTATTTTGGGGTGTCACCGGGATTGGGTGCTAAAGAGAAGCTTCATGCAATGCAGCATACCCTGTGTTTGTGACCGCAGGGCTGACACAGGCAGCCCCCCGAGGCACAGTGCTCCCAGCAGTCCAAGCCCCACGGTTCCCTTTGCCCTCCAGACGCTGTGATCGAGGCAAACGCTGCACCAACTGCTGAAAACTTTTCAAGTACTCTTACTTTCCGGATGAGCTTTAAAAAAAAGAGTCCGGTTGCAATACATTCACATTGCACCACAAAGCAATAGTCCATATATTCATGAGACCACCCGACACACCAGCCAGCTTCCTGCAACTGGCTTTTTCACAGGTAGTCGGAATGCTCTCAGCAAAACCTACAGAACTGGATTACGAATCCCCACGGGGGTTCAACCACATGATAACACCTTACAGTAATGAGCCTGTCACTCTTAAGGGTGAAGGGCGTGGAGGAGGAAAGAGATGCTTCTTTATCTGCATTACGCCACATCACAGATGCTGACAGAATTATTGATTTAGAACTCACAGCTCCAAAAAGACTCAGTAATGTAATCTTTTTAAGGTTGGTGTTTTGGGTTTTTTTTTTCCTTCCCTCAGATGTGATGCTTTCAATATGCCCCTTAGATATGGGCTCTTTGGGGACGTTGTTAAACTTGTTGCTGTTAAACCACAGTCCCAGCCTTTGGTTTGTTCCATACAACTCTCACAGTCTACTCTCTCTTGGAAGAGCCCATAGCTGCTTTACAGGTACTCTAGGAAGATTGAGGGATTAAGTTATACATTACGTAAAACTAGCCACTAATCCTCTTAGTGTGCATTACCAGTGAATGGCCTGAAATAGGCTCTCACTAAAAGAGCCCTAACATTCACTTTCTTGATGACATGTTAGTATTTGAGGTTTGTGTCATGGATTTTGGTGCTGAAATATTCAGTACACCATCTTCTGTCTGCTGCTAGATCCACTTGCACATGTTAGTAGAGTGCTAACAAAATTACAGTTGGTAAAGCAGATTACGTGTTTAACTAGTAGCGAGACACGTATAAAATAGAATTATATATTTTCTAGAGTGACAGAGTCACTGGGTTTTTTAGTTCATTTTTTGTGTTCTTTTTTTTTGTTTTTCTAAGAAAAAGAAACAGCTATAAAACCATGATTAAAAATGTTACAAAGGATGTTTTGCATTTTAAAATGGTATTTTTAGAAAAAAAAAGTGATTTATGACATAAATTGTTTGGAAAGCGTTTGGTTGCTGTGTACTGCCTTCTTTCCCAGTACACTTTGCTATCGGTTATACAGTCTTGCATAAATGTTTAGATTAGGGGAGAAAGGAAAAATTAAATGTGATGGCTAAGACCTATAAGAGCTGACTCACTGACTTGAGTTATTGCTGTGCAGAAAGTTTGTAAAGCCTTTACATCCAGCGAACATTTAGTGCTACTTCAGCCTTGACAGTTGACCTTTCAATCTGATTGGGTTTAGCCACAATAATTGCAGCATCTGCAGTACAGGCGACGCAGACGGCTGCTTAGGAACCCAACTTCTCTCATTAGATCTTACTTCATGCGCCTAAAATTCCACCCCTCTTCGCATGTATGTGCAAATTTCTCTCATAATACCTGTTATAGGGGGTGAGCAAGGTACAGTCTCCCACCTTTTTAAAAAACCCTATTTTTAATTTCTCTCATAATTTTGAATATTCCTGGATTTAGATTAGAGGGGGGGAGGGAAAACCTCCAAACCCCTTCCTCTCCCCAGAGAGTTAATCAGTACTGGCTTCCTTTCTCCCCCTCCTCCCCCCCACCCCACCCCTCAGTAAGACCTAGTGTAAAAAAGCAACAAACAAACAAGTTAGACTGTTGTAATTTGGTCAACCACTCGGGTGCTATCCATATCCACCATTTCAACACACTCTATTTCCTCACGGTTTTCAGGATTCTTCTTCTCTTTCCTCTTCTTCTTGGACGGTGGCAGGAAAGTCAGTATCACAGGTAAAATGGCAAAGCAGTGAAAGAAGGTGACTAATGCTATTAAAAACAAGCACCTGAACAGTGTACGGGTCAGATTTGAAGGCACAGCTGCAAGAGGAATCAGACCAACAATATAGCAGAGGTAGCTCTGCAAAATAGCTACCCCATGCACTTCCAGGGCATTTTTCACCCATTTAGTTCTTGTGAACTCTTTGCCCAGGACAAAGGTTGATAACAGTGGAGCACAGTTGTCAATTGTATAATTAATTCCGTAAATTAAGCACAACACAGAAATACAATCTAGTTCCACTTTCCACAAGGTCATAAAACCTATAACTCCAAACTCAACCGAGGCAACAGTTAGAGTGAGCCAGACATTGATCAGAGAGTCTGCCACCAGGAATGCAGAGAAGAAGAGCAGAAATAAAGCACTAATGCAGGAGTTTTGTAACGGGGCTCCCACTGAAGAGGCGTAACGATCCATGTACACAAATGATGGATTGAAAACAATGAATTTCACCTTGGAGGTGAGAGAGAGCTTCCTCAGGGTCTCCAGGAGGTCATAAAGTTCTTCCCTCTTGGTTTCCATTGTCTTGGCCACCAAGAACATCCTGGAGGCTACAACATCGACTTCATTGTTGTATTTCTTGGAAAAGATGATATCCTCTGAAAAATGGGCAAACTGAGGGGCCTTCAGGAAGGAGTTCCTCAACATATCAGTGAAGTTTTTCTTGGGCAATCCAGTAGATATGTTGAGTTTCCTAAGGTAATTTAAGTAGCTTTCAAACCAAGATATCCTCACAAAGCCCTTGGTATACTCCAGCACGTCCTCCTGGACGCTGGTGTTCCAATACTCGATGGACTCATAGATGTAGAACCCAATCACCGGGCTGTAGTTACTGAAATACTTCTGCTGGGCAGTTGTATACTCAATGGTCCGTGTGGCGGTCGCTACGATGTTGCTCAGGTCTGACCCTTCACTGACCTGCAGGTAGCCCATTAAGGCAAAGGAAATATAAACAAGGTAAAAGAGAACTACAAAAGGCTTGACGTAAGTGTTTGTTATCCAGTCACAATAATAGCGTTTAAGGAACCACACCAAAAGATGACTCTCGTAAGTGTTCGCTTCCTCAGAATCCGCTGTGTCCTCGCTGAATCTGGCTGTCAGAAGAAACCTATACCATGCAGGCTTCTCTTGCAATACCTCTGGCTTTGGTACCTTTCTGCAGAAGATACTATGCTGGTAGTTGTTTTCTATATAGCCAGTAAACACCAGGCTGGAACCATAAAACGAGAGTACATAGAGGTAGTTGAAGAAAATTGCAATACAGGAATTGCAGCAGAAAATCCTGGCTGCTTCAATGTTAGTGAAGGGACTGGCACCTATTCCAAAAGTGACCAGGTACATGGCAGTGGTAAGAGAAAACGAGAGCATGGAGTCTGCAAATACGGCTGCAGTCCTCTCTTTAACGTGTTGGTCTTCTCTAGTTTTTCTCCAGGAGGACAACATTTCAAAAGTCCCGTATAACCCATGACCTACAATAGAGAACAAAGCGAGTGTTTAAAGTACTCGAATCGACACGCGGAAAAATGTAATGTGGACATATTAAAAGACTCAAAGGAGACACAACTTGCTGTTATCAATGCTTAGAGTAAACGTCCTGCAGAAGAGAGAAATTATTACGGTGGTCTAAGCCACGGGAGCGCGTTCGCTACTGGGCTAGCAAACCTTACTGCCAGAGCTCGAGGAGAGTTCTGCACCGCTGGCACAGGGTTGATGGGTGAAAGAAAAAGGAGTATTTTTCTGGTTGGCTGTTTCATTTCATTATTTTGGAGTGCCTGTGATGGAAGGTGCTTTGAAATTAGTTTTCCGTGGTGATGGGATCTGACCTGTGGTGGAAACAAAGAAATACGACCTTGAAGTGCCTATGCTGGAAGCAGAGCATTGGTTGGCTGCTTTGTAGAACATCTGTAAAAAAGTGAAACCTTCATATAAGCCAAACATTGTCAAGTAAATCAGTCACTGATTTCTCCACTTCCTATACAAATTTTACACCAGGGAAAAAGAAATCCTAGAAATGGAACAAACAAAAAAAGCACAAATAAATTATAGAGATGCAGAATGGCACAACTGATACAGAACTGCTTGAGGCATTGGTCTTCTTACTTTGAGATGTCTAAGGGCTTGAAAACCCAAATACAGTTCTATTTTTCTTAGCAGTTCCTACATATAGAAATGTAATTAACTCTTAAAATGGATACAGCATTCATGAAGGGAGATAAAGACCTGCAGACCTAAAATCCTGTGTTTAACCCCCAAGTGCAGGCAAATCAGGAAAAGTGCATGGTTTTATCTTAATCCCTGGTTGGTCATCTTCCTCTTATGGTTTCTTTTTCGTGACTGATAACCAAGGCACATTTGGAGCACAGAGAACTCTGCTCTCTCACAGTGGACCTGAGCTGGGAACACAGCCATCAACCAGCTATCAGATGAGAGTGGCTGAGATAAAAGTAGGTTGATGTTTTACACAGAGATGAATGTAAAAATATAATCTTTGTATCACACCTAAAATGTAAGACTAATATTTTCTCATAATAATTCATATCATGTTCAACTTTACTTAATAAATCCTTTCCATCTTTTCCCTCTTTGCTGCCTTTTGACTCCTACTCTTCCTTATTCTTTTGCTGGTTTTAGTGTCTCCTGTCTACCCCTCTGGTCTGCTCTTGCATTCTCTCTAGATATTCCCAAGAGCTAGTCCACAGTGTTTTGTTCTTACCCATTCCCTGACAACATTAGATAAAACTATCAGTGCTGAATTAGTTGCTGATGACATTGAAGTGCAGTCACTGGATTTCTGAAGCTGAAGCTCCAGTCAGGCAGGTCAAGGTAATTCTGAGATCTTTGTCAGCATTTCAGGCTGGCTGCAGAGTAAAGATTGCTGTATCAGCTCTGCTCTCTCCACCTGTAGATGACCATCACTTTTGCCACAAGGGCTACGGATATCAGTCAAGAAACCCCCAAACAAATGAGGAATTCCGAAGAACCAGAAAACCAGAAAATATATTTGGGGGGTTGGAACTAGGTGATCTTAAAGGTCCCTTCCAAAACAAACCATTCTGTGATGTTGTGATCACATTTATTCTTAAACACCTCATGTAAGCTAAATATTTAATTGACCTGACAAAAATAACCCTTTTCCGGTCAGTACCTTTTACTGTAGGGGCAGCTTTAGTTGATACACTTCAGCCTTCCTGTAAGGAATATCCTATCTGCATTTTAACAGATGGCAGAGCTGATCCCACTGTTAATGCTGAAAAGAATAGGTATGGGGTATTTTATAAAGAATCCAAAATAAAATGCTCATAAGATAAGATAATAGGACAGCTGTCGTATCTCCTTATCATGGTCAACTGGTATTTAGAGTAACAAAGTCCGTGCTTTCATATCCATCAGATATCTCACCTTCATTGTTATTTGGAGTCACAGCATGGACTGTGACTGTCTAATCTACAGCAATATTACACTCCCGGTTTTGGTGTGACATTTGGCATTCATCTTAATTTTCCTAAACAATGTTTTACAGCTGCTTTCGGAGGCCAGGTCAAGACTGTCAATTTGATAACTAGCACCGTGCCCCCTCTTAAAGCTAATGGGGAACGCTGGAACTCCCCAGACGTAAAATCAAGCAAAAAGCACAATCAGTGACTGGCACCCTGTTGCTAATTATGCTTCAAATAGTTATGTTCTATGGAAAGCTATTAAGCTTGCTTTCAGTGTGTTCTTTGTAAAGACAGACTGACCTTTATTTAAATGTAACTGATCACTTGCCAAAGCAGGGAGTGAGAGGTTTAATCCATTTATGGCTCCCATAAGTCCTGCAGACAGGCTCGTCTGAGAATTTCACATGGCATCATATGCATTAGCTTTGAGTGAGCAAAACAGTATAAAATGAGGTCATTGAATATTACAAATTACTTCCATCGTGAGCTTTAGCTATAGCATGTTTTTGTAAAAAAACATTTCAGCGTTAATAGGCTCTTGCCTAAAAGTACTCAAATAGCTGCATAATGTGGAAAGCTTTGCAACGAATAAAAGAATTTAAAGCTAATTAAATATGATGCTGTGCATGACTTTTTAACAGGTATAAGATTTTGGATAATGTCTGATAACAAGACTCCCGATACCACATTATTATTTTTAGGAAGGAAACACAAAAACACAATTTGGTCTTACATAATCTTCGAGACTGTCCTAAAATAGAATCTGATTTACAGAACTGCCCAAGTGAATGCATGAAGAGGCGTCACCGCATGTGCTCCACAACACAAACAGAAAAACATTTAGATACTCTTCTATTTTAGGATAGGTTCCTTTTGTTGTTTGCTACACCATCTGCATACTAGGAATTGGTATTTTCCTTCAATTGTACAATCTGTGATTCCTCTGTTCATTTGTATAATAGCTCCAAAATTCTCATTTTCCCCTACGAAGACAAGGTGAAATGATAAACCTGCACACTTTTTGCATCAGTGCCACTACTGACCTGATCCAGTATTCTCTGAGAAAAAGATTAAGCCCAAATTCGTGCACAAATTAGGCATGGCAGTCCAAAGATTAGTCTTATTTAGCTAGAATGGGATTTACCTAACCTAATTTACTCCTCTACTGACTGCAAGCACAACTTGGGGTGACATTCTCCAACACTGTCGAACTTGCTGATGCTTGTATAAATCTAACCCACAGAGTTTAGGGCAGATAGCTCCATAGCAGCATTTTGTGAGAATTTCTTTCACTATTCTATCATTTCAGAGTTTCCATTTTTTGCATCCCTAACTGATTTGCACCAATTACCTCCATTTCTGTTGCTGGTGCTATGTCTTCCCCATACAATATTAACGAGAACAAAGCTAATTTTTCCTTGTAAATAAATTCTGTAATTGATTTTCCCTTTTTACTAGAGATTTAGCCACAAATCTGTAACGATTTAGAGCAATTTGTTCATTATTCACAGTCATTCAGTAAATAATAAATATGAACTCAAACAGCTAATGGGCTACCAGAGACATTTTCCTGTTGACATTTGCTATTATGATTCACTGGTCGTGCCCTACCGTCATGTTGTACAACCATGAGCTAAGAAGAAGGAGTACACGGAAAGATGGGATTTTTTTTAAGGAAAAGAGGTTCTGAATGGGCAAATAAAAATCTTCAGGGAATAGGTGAAAGGTATTGGAGAAAATGGGGACTAAAATATTTTTGTCCTTAGTCCCTTTTCTACAGCTCTGCATTGTAGGAGATACTCCTACCACGTCTCGGATGACTGAGAACAGAAATCCTGGCTTTTGTAGCCAGAGAAAGTGAAGATGGTTGCTTTTATTTCTGAGGAGCTTAAATTTTTTTACAGCCTGAGGTGGGCTACCTTTAATTTTAGAAGGTAATAACAATACCAGCAATAAAAGCAATAAATTATGCCTAGCTTAAACACAGCACTACTATGACTAGCCTGGAAATGCTATGAAAAATTTCATTTTCCTCCTTCAGTACCAAGTCTTGCAATTACATGTGCTCTGCACAATCAATGCAGAGCATGCATAAGGGAAAAAAAGCACTTGTAGAAAGCTGTGAAAACTAAGGCAAAATTTTCTGTTGCTTAACATCTTCAAATTATATACCTCATTTTAAACATGACCTACGTGCAGGCACTTAAACTGTTCTTTTTAGTACTGTTTTAAAATCGCAGAAATGCATCCTTTCCTCTGCTAAGTGGTTGTTTGAGCAAGAGGCCTTTACGAACGGGCCCCTGCAGCGTAAGCAGGTTGAAAAAAAGAAAAGAAAAAAAGTTGCTTCCCCTCCCGCCTGGCAAATGGCAGGACTGAAGCAGAGAGGGGTGAAGGGATTTAAAGCAGCCCCAGAGCCTGTGGGAGGGCAGCGAAGTGATCTCCCGGTCACCAAAGTGACAGACCAGCACTCTATTCACTTGGTTTAATTGCTTCACTAAAACAAAGGCTGCTGCATGCTTTTACCATTTAATGATTAAGGCATATGTTCAATTTTGCAGTAAAATCATTTGAAGTTTTGTCGTAATGAGGTTTGGGTACTCACACAGACCTCTTCTGTAAGAGAAAGTAAGGGGAATGACTGAGAACAAGGTTTTGTTTCCTCTTCTTGCAGTTTTACCCATCTGTGAAAGCAGACAATGACAGTACTCCGTGGCTCCTGGTTTTCTGTTCTCCCTGTTCTGAAGGTTGTGTGTGTGCACATCCGTGTTTGACACTCGAGTACAATCTCTCTGAATAAACTCTCAGTTACAGGTTGTGAAGTGAGGATGGATCACGGTAGGAGGTACGGGAGCCTTGTAAACTAGGTGGGCAAAAGCCTGAAGCAGAAGCAAGCTCTGATGGAGGTACTGAGGTTAACTCTGGATTTTGATTTAAGGTTTTGGCTTGTATTGTAATGGCTGCATCCTTCCAACACCACTTGTTCAGCTGGACAAATGCGGTCTCACTTAAGTTGATTTAAGTCTGAAATCATCCCACTGA